CCCCTCGCCAGGCAGCACTGCTAGCCTGCCTTCACTGGGAGCTTTCACTCCACAAAGATCTATTCTTTCATAGAATAATAGATTTTTTATGGGCCCGGCACGATAGGGTAGCAATTAAAGTCCTCACCTTGCATGCGCCAGGATTCCATATGGGTGACAGTTCTAATCCCAGTGGCCCTGCTTCCCATCCAGCTTCCTGTCTGTGGCCTGAAAAAGCAATGGAGGACGGCCCAAAGTTTTGGGTCCCTGCACCCACGTGGAGACCCGGAAGAGGCTCCTGGCTTCGGATTGGCTCAGCTCCAACCGTTGCAGCAGCTTGGAAGATCTTTTCTCCTCTCTGTATATTTGCCTTTCCAATAAAAATAAACCTTTAAAAAAAAAAAGAAATCATAGATTTTTAAAAGATTTATTTTTATTGAAAAGTCAGATATACAGAGAGGAAGAGAGATAGAGAGGAAAATCTTCCATCCATTCATTCACTCCCCAAAGTGACCACAACGGCTGGAGCTGAGCTGATCCGAAGCCTGGAACCAGGAGCTTGTACCGGGTGTCCCATGCAGGTGCAGGGTCCCAAGGCTTTGGGCTGTCCTTGACTGCTTTCCCAGGCTACCAGCGGAAAGTGGGGCTGCTGGGACTAGAACTGTCACCCATATGGGATCCCAGAGCATTCAAGGTGAGGTCTTTAGCCACTAGGCCATGGCACCAGGTCCTAGAATAATATACTTAATATTTAGTTGAAAAGCACAGCAACAAAGGGAGAAAAAAAACAAAGAGATCTTCCATTTGCTGATTCCTTCCCCCCATAAGGGACACAGTAGCCGGGATGGGCCAGACCAAAGCCAGGAGCTCCATCCTGTCTCCCAGCATGTGTGGCGGGAACCCAAACACATGACCCATGACCTCCTGCCTTCCCGGGCACCACAGCAGGGAGCTGGAAGCAGAGCAGCCAGGTCTCAAATCCATGACTCCGATGATGCTGGCGTCACCAATGGCAGCTGAACAGCTGCAACATTATACCAGCACTCCACAGAGATCTAGACACGTCTGCCCCATCCAGTAGGGACCTGAAGACCCAGTCCCCAAGACTACCTGCCTCCTGTCCCCAGGGTGCGAACCTCCCCCAGTGGCCCCACCCCACTTCTCTAGCAGCCCCTGTGTCCCATGGCTGGCTCTGTACCAGTCACCAGTCCTAGCAGCTGTTCCCCCCAAACCCCCACTCCCAGGCATTCAGAGGGTCTTACCGGCTGCCTAAGCCACAGGGCAAGCACTTGAACACTCAGCCTGGGCAGAGTGTGCACGCACCTCCAGCTCAGCACCCGGCACAGCAGACCCTAGTCTGCCAGAGTTCGAGTCCCTTCTCCACTGGATGCCACTGGGATGAACTCGGGAGGTCTGAGAGCCTCAGCTTTCCTATCTGGGAAATGGGCATGATACCAAGAGCTGCTTCCTTCTCAGGTTTGTGCTGTGGAAGGCAGAACCGATACATACAAAGTCACAGCCATGGCCAGTGACGGGGAACCCAAGGTCTTCCTGCAGCGGTGGCCACAGTCAAAAGCTGAGAAAGGATACAAAAGGGTCCCAAAGATGAGGCCAATGCCACAACTGCCCCCCCCAGCCCAGGAACAGGAGGCATCTGACACCACCTGTCCCTGTGGGAGTCTCAGCCATCCCCTCCCCCACCCCTCTCCCTGCTCTGGCAAAAAGGGCAGGGGGAATAGAAGAGGGTCCTTGCCTCCCCCCACCCCAACAGAGCTGGTGTGTAGTGACAGGAGTGACATCACTTTGCTGCAGTGTAAGTAACTCATTCATGCCTCACACACTCGCTGTGCCCTGCAGTCCGCTGAAGAGGCAGGCTGTACCGGACCACTACCCAATGTCAGTCATTTTTGTGCCCATAGGCAGCCTGATCAGGGAGGGCTTCCTGGAGGAGTGGGGCACACCACTGAGATTCACCAACTCATGGAGGGGACCCAGGAAGTTCTGGCAGATTCATAGGTGGGAAAAAGAAAATGCAACAAAATAAAAGCTTGTGAGCCCAGTGGGATAACCTAGTGGTTGAAGTCTTTGCCTTGGGCACCAGAATCCCATATGGGCAGCGGTTTTAATCCCAGCAGCTCCACTTCCCATCCAGCTCTCTGCTTGTGGCCTGGGAAAGCAGTCAAGGACGGCCCAAAGCCTTGGGGCCCTGCATCTGCGTGGGAGACCCGGTACAAGCTCCTGGCTCCTGGCTTCAGATTGGCTCAGCTCTGGCCGTTGTGGCCACTTGGGGAGTGAATGAATGGATGGAAGATTTTCCTCTCTGTCTCTCCTCCTCTTTGTATATCTGCCTTTCCAATACAAATGAATAAATCTTTAAAAAAAAAAAAAAAAGCTTGCTTTTGCAAACTCATGGGGTTTGAGGTTGAAGTGAGGGGAGGTATCCGAAGAGTTACTGGACAGACACTGGGTTGTTGGGGCTGGCGAGAGTTGTCTCCAGGATCCGCAGGAGCCGAGGGACCCAGCCCCATCCCGGGGCGACCAAGCGCAGGGGCAGAGGCTCCCACGGAATCGTCCGGCCGCCCCGCACCTGCTAACGGGCTCCCCGCCGGCCGCAGTGCCGCAGCGCCGGCCCCGCCCCGCCCGCGCGCTCCTCCCCCGCGGCCGCGGCCCGGAGCGCTCCCAGAGCCCAGGCCGACACCGAGCGCAGGTGAGCGGCCGCCCGGGGGGACCCGGGTCCACCTGCCACCCCCGACCCTGCCGTCCTCGCGCTTGGGGGCCAGCGCGCGCGCTCACAGCTCTCGGACCAGGGCCGGCGGCTTGAGGACTTGGCAGAGGACTGGGGTAGAGGGGTACCGCTGGGGGCCAGGGGACACAGGCTGGGCTGGAGTGCGGGGTTGGGGTGCGGATGCTGGATCGTCCCGTCCCCGGTTCCCACTGGCGCGCGGCGCCCCGCTATGCCCGTACTGGGCTCCGGGTGTCCGCGGGAGCCCCGGGATGGAGCCGGCCAGGCTGCTTCGCTGCACCGGCCGCTTGCCCGGGCGGGCCCAGCGACCACGTGCGAAGGCGGGGAGAGTGGACCGGATGTTGGTACCGGAGCCCCTTGGGAGAGGGCGGGAGCCGGAGGTCCCCCCCCCCCCGAACTTGAACGCTGGGCTGGGGAGCTCAGAGACGCCACCCGCCCAGGAGAGCTACTGAGATGCCCAAGCTGGAGGAGGCAGGACCCCATCTCCTGGGGGTGGGTGAAGATTTGGGGGGTGGGTACGGTGTGAGGAGGGAGGAAGGAGCTTGTAAGAGTCCCTTCCCCAGCCTGCGCCCAGAGTGCCCTGGCATCTCTGTGATGCCAGGGTGAGGGCAGGGGTGTTGCTGGGGGTTCCAGGAGTGAGACTGAAACTTGGGGTGCTACAAGAATGCGTTAGCAGAGAAGAGCAGGAGGAGGGAGACTTTGCAAAACAGCATGGGGGTCCCTCTGTCTGCAACCCTCCCGGGCAAGGACCTTGGCCGTGAATCCATGTGTTTCTGGGCTGCAGGCCAGCTTGGCACACACTTGCCTGGTGGAAGACACAGCCCCTACCAGCTCTGCTTCCAGGCCTGAAACCCAGGAGGGTCTCTCCTAGGCCTCTGGGTAAAGCCAGGACCCCCGGGAGAGGGCAGGTGGTGGCAGGTGCTGTGACATACCTGCCTTGGTAACAAGCTGGGGACGGGGGGAGGCCTCCATACTCTTCCTCATAGCAGGGGCCCTGGCCCGTAGGGCAGGTGACATTGTGGGTCAGGCAGTGAAAGGGCCTCCTGCCCCCACCATCTTGTCCTTCTCTCTTCTCAGCCCTCAGCTCTCAGGTGGCCACTCCACGGCCCCTACCTGGGGACATGTGTCCCACCTCTCGTTAGACTTCAGGAAGAGTTTTCGGGGGACTTCAATGGGGAAGACAGACAATGGGGAACAAGCTGGCCTTTGCCCCAGGACCTTCCCAAATCCACCTGGAGGTTGGACTTCCCCTGCTCTCCCCTCCCCCTCCCTGGAAGGCCCACCTTGTGATTGCTTTGTGGATAACCCCCTCCTCCAACAGCACCACCTGCTGCTTGACCTTGGTGAGACCTTGGTGCCTCATTTGTTCCATCTGTAGCTGGGCATGGCTCAGCTCCAGGAGCCTGGTGGGCATGTATGAGGGACAGGGACAGGTGGACACAGCGGACCCTGAGCTGGGCTTGCCCCTCCCCCTCAGCCTTGTTGAACCCGGAAGTTTCCCTGGGGACCAATGGCCCAGCCAGCTCCCCACCCCCAGACACACACACACCCTTCAAGGCCCTCCTGGCCACAGCCCACATACCCAGGAGGAGGGCTGTGGGCTGGGCCACCTCCTGGACCCCTGCCTTCTGCCACAGCCCGGCCTGGCAGCTTCCATCCAGTGCTGGCCGGGGTGTGAGGAAGCAGCAGTGGCCACCCTTGGAAGGAGGTGGGTTCCCCAAGAGAGGGGGAGCGGGCTGGGACTGGGGAGAGCCCCATCACCCCCACCCAGGGTCAGGAGGAGAAGCCCAAAGCCCAGTGAGAGAGGAGTGGCATGCCTGGCACATGCTCTGGGGTCTCACCCCAGGCAGGCAGTGGTGGGGAAGGGATTTGGAGAGAAGTGGTGTTGGAGGTGAGGGTGGAATTCACGGTAAAGCAGCTACTGGATGAAAGAAGAGGAGGTGGGAGCCTAGGTGCTGTCCCCTGCAGAGATGGGGGAGTCGGAGGAACAACCTGGAGGGCTTCAAGGGGGTGCTGTGGTCAGGTGCCGTTCTCCCAGTGCCTCCAGACTTCTCCAGCTCCAAGGAAGCTGCTTCTGGAAGGCCTGGTCGCTGCCCTGACCCTCAATGTCCTGTTCCCCCCAGTCTGGCCCCAAACAGGACCAAGAGACCGTTCCAGCCGAGAGAGAGATGGCGGCTCTGGCATCCCCACAGGCCACAGGGTGCCCAGCCATGCCAAGGGCACCCTAGGGTGGCCTTCTGACAGCTGAACCATCTGTGGACTCCCACCCGAGCCGGCCATCCTCCACTCAGGCCACTGGCCATGGGTGGCTGCTTCTCCAAGCCCAAACCAGGTAGTACCTCATTTCTTCCTTTCCCGCCTGTGCCCTCCCCCCTCCGCACGCCTGTCATCTCACCCCCCCTCCCCCTCCCCTTCGGCACTGGGCAGCAGCCGAAGTAGGTCAGGCCCCGGGCTGCAGCCTGCGGAATGTTAATACGCTCTGCGGGGCAGCAGTGGTGTGGTGGAAGGAAACAGGAGGGGAGAGGGGGCTGCGGTGCCGTGCTTCCAGATGCCCTGTGGGTCCTGTGGGTGCCCCCTCTTTTTTGCGTGGTGGGGCTTAGGGTTGCTGGTGGTGGTAGTGGCAGCTGAGTCATCCTTGTGAACAGGAGAGGGGGTGGGGGACAGGGTCTCCTAGTTTAGGGCTGGGGGTGGAGGGGGCTTCTGGGAACCTCCCCACCAAGCCCTATCGCCATTTCTCTGAATGTTTCCTCCTCGTGGTGTGACACCCCCAATCCCCTGCCGTCCAGACCTTTCTGGGCAGGCTTACACCTGCTAGAAGAGATGTCCATTTTGCCCAAGCTGAGAGCGCGACCACAGGGATGCTCTGAGGTGGCCGTGCACTGCAGACCTGTGTCAGGGGTAGGGGTCCCTCTCTTTGGTCCCCACGCTCCCCTCTTCTGTCTTCCTCACAGCCAGAGATGCAGGTGCAGGCAGATGGGGAAATGGAGGCTGGGTGCCAGCCATACCTCTGCAGGCCCCTTGGCTGTGCCACACTGCCCTCGCCACTCCCCCCCCAACCTGCCCAGCCAACTCACCCTGGTACCTGATACCCATCGGCTCCATTACCTTGGAACCCACAAGCCTTTTCTCCTCCCCTTCAGCCTGAGGGAGAACTTGGTGTGGGATGGAGGGCGGGGGTGGGGGTGCTAGGAGTGAGGTGCACCTGCCCCAGGCAATAGCACCCCTCCCTCTCCCAACCCCTCCGTGTTCTGTGGATGTCCAGGCCCTGGGCCAGGGTCTGGTCTAGACCAATGATGTCTGCAGGACTTTCATTGGGGGGCCCCCCTCTCAGTACCCCGGAAGTGTGCTGAGGATTTGGGCTCAGACTCCAGTTCCAGCCCTACCCCTTCCTCTGGCTGTATGGCCTTGGGCTTCATGCAGGCAAGGCAGGGCTGCTGTGCTCACCCTGAGCAAGGGTGGCTTGCAGGGATGTCTTAGGTGGGCTCCTTGGCTGCTGGGAACACCCCCTCACGCACACACATCCCATTGCAGGGCTGTAGCAGCGGGAGGCTTGGGTCCCCATGCCCAGGCGTGGCAAGTCAGCGGTGAGGTCAGAGGTCAGGTGGACGATCAGGAGAGAGAGACTTTGGGGTTACTGGGGGCCCTGAAGAGCAGGCAGGTACTCCCTCTTAGGTGTGGCTCTCTGCTTCCCTCACCCCCTCTGTGCCTGCCCTCTGCCGTTGCTTCCTGCTGGCTCTCCTCAGGGCCAAAGGAAAAAGCAGCCAGTTTCTGGCTGAGCTTAGAACCAGAAAGAAGTGCAGTTCCTTTGGGGTCTGGTCCCTGCCTTTCATGAAAGCCACAGGTAGCTAGCTAAGACCTTCCTCCTGGCCAGGACTGCCGGGAAGCTCAGAGCCTGTGGCTGAGCTCTGCCCTCGCTCCATTCCATGCATTCACTGAGTTCCCATGCTGTGCTACATATGAGGGTATCCATATGAGGGTATCCAGTTCATGGAAAGTGGAATGACAAACATGAGTGTGTTTGGGCGCAAAAACAGGTTTTTTAGATCAGAATTGATATTTTCTATGTATAATGGGAAAAAAAATATTTCTGCCCTGAAATAAGCTCCTACTTTTAAAAATTGATTTATTGAAAAGGGGAGTAAGCAAGTGAGAGCGCATGTTCTGGTTCACCTCTCAAATATGCATTCATAAGCCTGAGGCCTTGGTACCCCCTCCTGCCCCCCAGCCACATGCTCTACCTGAAGTTCCATTTCTTTCTTTTTTTTTCTCTTCATTTTGTAAACATTTATAAATTAAAGAGTTATTTATTTTTATTGGAAAGGCAGATTTGCAGGGCGGAGAGACAGAGAGGACGATCTTCCATCCACTGGGTCACTTCTCAAATGGCCATAATGGCCAGAGATGAGTCCATGTGACCCTGGCAGCCAGGAGCTTCTTCCAGGTCTCCCATGCAGGTGCAGGGTCCCAAGGCTTTGGGCCATCCTCGACTGCTTTCCCGGGCCACAAGCACGGAGAAGGATGGGAAGTGGAGCAGCTGGAATATGAGCCGGGGTCCACATGGGATCCTGGTGCATGCAAAGAGGAAGATTAGCCAATTGAGCTATCTCATGAGATCCCCTGAAGTTCCATTTCCTGTGATCTTTTTGAAGAGTTCCAATCGGATCCTCTTGTCTACCAACGGAGGAGGCACTGTTCCCTCTCAAACGACTAAGGCAGCATCCAAACCGGGAAGGGGGCCCTGGAGGACTCCCTAGGTGGGGCTGGGATTCCTGGAGCCTCTTCTCTCCACACCCCGACCCTGCCCCCTGGGAGGGCTGAACCAAGTCTATGCACCTCTGTTCCTGCTCAGCGGGTTTTGCTTAGACTGCAGCAATGAGTGAGGCTTGGAACCTTCTGGAAGGAGGAAGAGGAGTGGAGGAAAGCAGCCTGGTGGCGTTGGTCCCTCACCCAGCCCCGGCCAGGCTGCTCCTGGGGGCCTCCAGCAGCTCGCAGAGCCAGTGTCTGCTGAGTCTTGAGTGTTTTTTCTTCTTCTTTTTTTTTTAATTCCTCAAAAAAAACATCCGAGCACCATTACATAAAGTGTGGGAAATGTGGGATGAGCCCTGCTCCTAGAGCTCCCCCTCCACCTGACTCCCTGTGGCCCTGCGTCCCCCCACTCCCCTTCCTGCTATGCTGGAGTCCCCAGGAACTGAACTTAACCCTGGAACCCTGCAGAGGTGCAGCTGGGGGCTGGGACTGGAGGGTTAGCCCAGCAGGATGTGAAAAGCAGTGATGACAGATGGGTGGGTAGGACCTCGCTGAGGAAGGATGGCAGCCCAGGCCAGGGCAAGGGTGCAGGAGGTGTGGCTTCAGGTGCAAAGACCTGAAGGATCTTGGGAGTCCCGCGGACCTCCCACCCACCCCCAACCCTCGGTCCCACCCCCTCATCCCACACAGTGCCAGGGGCTTTGCTGTCACTTACCCCTTTCTGACACCCAGGGCGGCCGGATTACAGCTGCTAAAGAGTCTGTTTATTGTTCCTTTGTAATTAGGGGCAAAAAGCATTCACAACCTGCCTCGCTCCCGCCCCACCCGCAGCATACATCACACAGGGAATTTGAAAAATGTAGAAACTCCAAATGCCAATCTCCCCCAGCAGAGCAGGGCACCCTGAGGTAGCTGTGGTTTGCAGAGAGACCCTGATGGGCAGGGTGCCTCTGTGTTGTCCACCTGATCACAGGCCACCCCCTCCCCACCCCCCTTTGCATACAAGACACCCAATGGGTGAGTCACGCACAACACTCCCAGCCGCTGGAAAAAAAAAAAAAAAAAAAGCTGTTTATAGAAATCACCATCTGAAGCAAGATTCCTGACTTACAGAGAAGTTGGAATAGGAGCATGAGCCCCCAGCAGCTCTCTGTGAAGACAGCTGCACCCTGCTTCATGCTGGGGTCACCCCCTCACCCCACTCCCCCACAAAGGTGTCCCTGAGCCATCGGGCACACTTCAGCTTTGTCATCCCCACAAGATGCAGCACTGAGGGCATGGGTGTCCTCCCCCATGTTCCTGGGGTGGGGGGAGGTTGTAGGGTCAAGTTCAAAGGCTGCCCTGCCCCTGTGTTATTGTGGGAATTGATTCCAGCTGCCTCCCAGGGTGGCTTTGGCTGCTCAGCAGGGAGTGCAGGAACCTTCTGGGGCCTTGCTTCTATCCTGCACAGTGGGAAAGGAAGGGGGCAAGGCTGGAGGGCTCACAGCGACCTCCTCCACCCCTGCTGCCCACAGTGGAGCTCAAAATCGAGGTGGTGTTGCCGGAGAAGGAGCGAGGCAAGGAGGAGCTGGCAGCCGGTGGCAAGGGCAGTCCACGGGCCTACCAGGGCAATGGCACTGCCCGCCACTTCCACTCGGAGGAACACCTGCCAGCCCCTCACCCCTACCCTGGCCCTCAGGACTGTGTGGAAGCTGCTGTCTGCCATGTCAGAGACCTGGAGAACGGCCAGTGGGTGCCGGGCCTGGGGAGTGGGCTGGGGCTGGGCGGGGGCCTGGGGAGTTGGAGGTGGCTGCCAGCAGCCCCACAGTCACCGCAGGTCACTCCCTGCACGGCTTCTGCAGGCCTGGTCCTGCTCTCCTCCTCCCCCCACCTGCCTTGCCACTGGAAGGCAGGGTGCCAGGAAGAAGCACCTGGCATCTAGGCTTGATCCTCCAAATGTGGGCTCCTCTCAGGATGCGGGAAGTGGAGTTGCGTTGGGGCAAGGTGCTGCTGCTCAAGGAGGGTGGAGAATTCCATGCACTGGGCCACAAATGCCCGCACTACGGCGCACCCCTCGTCAAAGGTGAGATATTGGGTTCACATGGCCAGAGCCAGGGCTACCCAGGGCAGGATTCCTTTCCCTACTGGACCATACAAGGGATTTCCAGGCTGCAGTGTTCTTCCCTGGCTCCCTCCCCATAACCTCGACAAAGTCCTCATCCACTAGTGGGAGGGCCCTGCAGGTGCTGGGCCACCACGAAGCCGTGGTGAGGAGGTCCCTGCTGGTGGTCACAGCTCAGCACAGCTCCCCCTGCAAACCGCCCCTCCAGGCGTGCTGTCCCGTGGTCGGGTGCGCTGCCCCTGGCACGGTGCCTGCTTCAACATCAACACCGGGGACCTGGAAGATTTCCCAGGCCTGGACAGCTTGCACAAATTCCAGGTGGAGTGGGAAGGAGGAGGGAGCAGGGGTCAAGGGCCAGGGACTGGGGCATCCAGAAAGCCTGGTCTCAAGCAAGGCAACTTTCACAGGTGAAGATTGAGAAGGAGAAGGTGTACGTCCGGGCCAGCAAGCAGGTGAGGGAAGGGTTGCTTAAGGGATAAGCAAGAGGCTTGCAGGGCACGCTGGTTTGGAAAAGTATGTTAGCAAAGGCACCCTGGCTGGGGGGTCGGAGGAGGGCAGCCTGGTCCTTGTAGTCTCAAGAGCGGAGAGCAGGCTGCATGCTGGCAGGCAGAAGGACCTGACCTTTCTGGAAGAAACATACAGGCAGGATAGCCAAGACCACAGTTTCCAGCTGCCCCATCCTCTCCCCGTGGCTCCCAGGCCCTACAGTTACAGCGAAGGACCAAGGTGATGGCCAAATGCATCTCTCCAAGTGCTGGGCACAGCGGCAGCACCAATGTGCTCATCGTAGGTGCAGGCAAGTGGCAGGGTCTGAAGAGCAGAGGTCGGGGCTGGAGGGAGTGGGGTGGGAAAGGAGAGATGCGTCCCCGGCCTATGGCCCATGCCGTACGTCCTTGCCCAGGGGCGGCCGGCCTGGTGTGTGCAGAGACACTGCGGCAGGAGGGCTTCTCCGACCGGATCGTGCTGTGTACACTGGACAGGCACCTCCCCTACGACCGGCCTAAGATTAGCAAGGTGGGCCTGGGGCAGCCGGCAGGGTCTGCAGTCCTGGCCTCCGGGTTCCCCCATCTCGGGCCCATGCACACCCCCAGCCTGTGGGAGCCTGGCCAGCTTTCATGTGGGCATTCATCCCAGACCTATCCTTAGTGCTCATTGCAAGATGGGGCTTGTTGAATTCTGTTTTGTGGTCCACTCCCTCACCACCAGCCCCAGGGCCACCCTCTCTGGGCCCTCTGCTGTTGAGAGAGGAGCGGTGGCCAGCTGGCCCCTCCTCTCCAGCTGGCCATCTCTTGCAGTCCCTGGATGTGCAGCCTGAGCAGCTAGCTTTGAGACCCAAGGAGTTTTTCCGGGCCTATGGCATCGAGGTGCTCACAGAGGCCCAGGTAACAAAGAGCCAAGCAGGAAGCAGGCCAGGGGAGGGGTTAAGGGGACCATGAAGGTCGTATGGACCCCGGGAGGGGCTGAGGGGCAGTACTCTACAGCCCAGGCCTGGGAGCTGATGGTTCTGCACCCACTGACGAGAAGCACCTGGTAGGACTGGGATAATGGGGAGGGCTAAAGAACAGGGTAGCCCCTGATTGGGCGGGCACTGGGCATCTTGCAAGGACCTTCAAGTCCTAGGCATAGAGTCCCTCAGTTCTCTGCTTGGTTTGGGGGATGGCGGTTGCAGGTGGTCACAGTGGATGCAAAAAACAAGAAGGTCGTGTTCAAGGATGGCTTCAAGCTAGAGTACAGCAAGTTACTGCTGGCACCAGGGAGCAGGTGGGCAATGACCAGCTAGCCCTGTCCATGTGCCCGCCCCGCCCCACGTGCCCTTCCCAGCTGGTGTGGGAGGCTCTCATGGCAGGTGCACCACCATGTCCTAGCCCCAAGACTCTGAGCTGCAAGGGCAAAGAAGTGGAGAACGTGTTCACCATCCGTACACCTGAGGATGCCAACCGCGTGGGGAGGCTGGCCCGGGGCCGCAATGTCGTGGTTGTGGGAGCTGGCTTCCTGGGTGAGCAGCTGGGGGCTTCCCATGGGTGGCAGTGGTGTGTGTGTGGGGGGCTTAAGTGCAGGATGCCAGCTTGCCACCACCACCTACTCCAGGCATGGAGGTGGCAGCCTACCTGACCGAGAAGGCCCACTCGGTGTCCATGGTGGAGCTGGAGGAGACGCCCTTCCGAAGGTTCCTAGGGGAGCGTGTGGGGCGTGCCCTCATGAAGGTGAGACTCGGATGCTGGGAGTGCAGGGGTGGGCAGAGGGCAGGTGGGTGGCCCAGGGCATGGTCTGGCACTTGCCCACCCACCTGCCCTGCCAGATGTTTGAGAACAACCGGGTGAAGTTCTACATGCAGACGGAGGTGATGGAGCTGCGAGCCCAGGAGGGCAAGGTGGGCCACTCCGTCCCTGCCATGGCCTCCCGTGGGGGGGTTGGGGCGAACTGACCTCACCCTGTGCCCACCTGCCCACACCTTGCAGCTGAAGGAGGTGGTGCTAAAGAGCAGCAAAGTTGTGCGGGCTGACATCTGCGTGGTGGGCATCGGTGAGTGGGGGGGGAGCGGGCCACTCTCTGTACCTCGGTTTCCCCGTCTGTCCAGTGGGGAACCCTTGCCATCCCCAGTTCACAAAGGTCTGCCTTGGAGTGTGTGGAAAACAGGCTTAGGCTTGGGTCTGCCACCTGAGATGGCCCCACCAAGCTGTCCGCAGGCTTTTAACTGTGTGCCTTGCCCGGCTCTGGGCACAGACTGGTTTCTGTTCCAGTGAGATGCCGATCTGGGGCAGCCCAAGTACAGGCCCTCTCCCCACTGGCCTGATGGGAGGTACAGGGGTTCGGGTTGAGGGATCAGGGAGGGCGACCGACGGCTCTGGGGTGACCGTGGAGAGGGCAGCAAGGGAGAGGACCTGTCCAGGACCTGGTAGCTTCCTTTCTGCCAGGTGCGGTGCCCGCCACGGGCTTCCTGCGACAGAGTGGCATAGGACTGGACTCCAAGGGCTTCATTCCCGTCAACAAGGTAGGGTTGGCTGGATGCCGGGCAGGCAGGGGACCAGGGGCCTGTCCATGCTACCGCACAGAACTGTGGGTCTTCTCCCATCCCCCCAGATGATGCAGACCAACATCCCCGGCGTGTTTGCGGCTGGCGATGCCGTCACCTTCCCCCTTGCCTGGAGGAACAACCGCAGAGTGAACATCCCCCACTGGCAGATGGCTCACGCCCAGGGTACTGGCGGGCGCCCTGGGATGGGGCTAAGGTGGCTCCCAGACTGTTTGGGTGAGGGGAAGGGCTGGGCTGCCATGAATTGCTGGCCTGGAATCCCCGATGTCAGCACACACAGCCAGCAGGCCAAGCCATGGGTCCTGTCTCCATAGGCTCCCTGTAGCCCCCTGCCTGCCGACCCCCAGATATCCTGATTCATCCAGCCACAGCCCTGACCCCTGCTGTGCTTCCATCTCTGTCTTCTCTCCTTGGGTCCTCCAGAACTCCCTGAGGAGGGAAACAGAGTGTGAGAGAGGGGAGAGAGGAAGAGAATGTGAGAGAAAGAGTGAGAGAATATGAGAGACAATGAGAGCAGGAGAGGAGAGAGTGTGAGACAGAAAGAGTGACAGAGAGCGAGTGAGGGAAAGAGCGAGGTTTCCAAGCCAGACTCCTTCCACTCTGCCTTTGCTCTGCTCTGGCCCCAGCTGCCTTGTGAGCTCAGCTGGCTCTTGCAGGTAACCACCCACCCCTGAGGCTGTCACCCAGGCCTGAAGACCCAGGCTACATGGGGAACACACCTGGTCCAGCTCCCCTAACACTGCAGGCGGCTGCAGGTGAACCAGCTTGCTGGATCACACAGAATCAGCAGCAGGGGTCAGGGGACGGACCTGGCTACCCCCACCCCCTTGTCTAGCAGCTATTGCCTGGACTCCCACTTCTGGCACCAATTTCGGGTCAAGTCCAGGGTCTGGAGTTACTACTAGCATGGAAGAAAGCAAAGCTGACTCCTCAGTGGACTGTGATTGGAAGGGTACATGGGTCTCTAGTACAATCTGTCTGCCCAGTTGGCCTGTGAAATTGACCTCTGGGGAGAGGTCATGATGCAGGTGTCAGGGGTCGCCCCAGTGCCTGAGATAGGCAGTGTCTCAGGAGAGGTGAGAGCGAGGGTTGGGGCTTTGTGACGGCCCTGGGTGCCCACAGGGCATGTGGCGGCCCAGAACATGCTGGCACAGGAGGCGGAGATCAGCACGGTGCCCTACCTCTGGACTTCCATGTTTGGCAAAAGCCTGCGCTATGCAGGTAAAATGGGGACCCCGCAGAAAGGCGGGGCTACGGGACTGGGGCAAGGGGCAGGGCTGGGGGGGCTACAGGGCAATGGGACCCTGTGAAGCCCCCACCTCTGGGCCCGCCCACAGGCTACGGAGAAGGCTTTGATGACGTCATTATCCAGGGGGATCTGGAGGAACTGAAGTTTGTGGCTTTTTACACCAAGTGAGAGCAATGGGCCCAGGGTGAAGGGGTGCAGTCTTGGAAGTGGGGGAGACGCCCCCCAGCAGGAGGTGGGGCAAGAGGGCCCCCCTTCTCTCTGGACCTTGCTTTTCAAAGTGGGTGTTGAGATGCCTGCTTCCACGCTGGGGTACAAGTCTACAGATGGACCTTGCAGACCCTATGCCAGGAGCCCCACTGAGGAGAGGCCCGAGCTCTGCTAGGGAGACCCCAGAGGCTGCACCAAGGGGCAGGGGGCGTCCTGGACAGGAGCCCTCCCCATCTCTCCCTCCCCTGCTCAGGGCGGGGGTGTGTAAACAGGATTGCATCAGGGTCTTGAGGAAGAAGATCTCCCTGTCAGTCCTCCAGCCCAGTTCCCTACCTCCCCCATCTCCCCAACAGAGGCGACGAGGTGATTGCCGTGGCCAGCATGAACTATGACCCCATTGTGTCCAAGGTGGCTGAGGTGCTGGCCTCTGGCCGGGCCATCCGGAAGCGGGAGGTGGAGTGAGTGTGGGCCTGGGAGGCCTTGGGGGAGGGTGGAGGTGGAGGAGCAGAGAAGGAATGCCCACCCACCCAGCCCGCCAAGGGCCTTTCTCCTTTTCAGTCCCTTTTTGGGGACCACAGGGCTGTGTGTGGGCAAGGCTTGTGGTTTGGGGATGGCAGGATCTGGATGGCATCAGAGATCAGCTGGCCACTACCTGCAGGTGGTGCCAGTGGGTCTGACTGGCTGTAGGGAGCTGCTGGGTACTGGGGAAAAGTCTGGGCAGGGCAGGGCAGGGGATGGCGCTGGGAGCTGGAGGCCATGGGACGGGGTGGACCCGTCAAGCGGGGTGGTGATGAAGAATGACGGATGTGCTGTCTCCCTGGCCTTGTCTCTCCTCTCTTGCCTTCGCCAAGGCTGTTTGTGCTGCACAGCAAGTACGTGTCGTCACCTTCATCTTCCCTGTTGATACTGCTGTCCCTTTCCACCTCAGCCCGGAGCTTCTGCCCTCCGTCTGCCCCCATACTTGTCCTCCCTGCTGGGCCACCCCTTGTCCTCCAGGTGCCCCGAGTGGGCAGCCTGCACTTTTCTCCTTCTCCAACCTCTCCCCCTGCTTCCTGCAGGACTGGTGACATGTCTTGGCTCACTGGAAAAGGATCCTGAGTTGGCACCCCACGGAAGCTGGCAGGCATGCTCTGGCACTGCCCTCCTGGGGCAGGCGCCAACCTCCAATTTTCCGGAACGCCCCTCGCCCTGCCAGCCAGCATTTGCCTTCCACCGCTCCCTCCACCCACCCAGAGAAGCTTCCAGAAGATGCTCGCCCCCTGCACCTCCCCGTAAAGCCTCAATTGGAGGGCAAGCCAAACCCTTGAGGGGAGGGGGGGTCGCCGGTAGGACATGTTTGAGACTACATGCGCATTAAAACGCACACATTTCCAGAGCTGTGTGACTCCTAGTGTTACTGGCCAACAGCAGTCACGAACCGAGCACCAACACCCGTGAGCACCCCCCAACTTCCCAGGTCTGAGAGGGCTTGGCAGCAAGGGTGCCCCCCTCAGCAGGTGCGAAGGCACACCTGAGACCGGAAGTGCTTCTTCCGAGGCCATTCCGGAGTCTCGCTTTGGGGGACAGGGCTGCGTCTGCCCACTTCAGAGTGTAGGAGCTGGTCCTAACACAGCCCCCCACCCAGAGGACCCGGGGAGGCAGGGGCCACAAGCAGCGAGGGGGACCCGGGCTCGACGTGCGGAGGCCGCTCGACGAAGTCGGAACCTTCAGTCTGGGTGTCCGTCAGGGGCGGACGATCTGAGCAGCGCACAGACAGACTGCATGCCGGGAGCTGCGAGCCTCCCTTGCAGGGGCCTATGGGCCTGGGCCAGGTCCCGCGGCCACCGACGGCCGCATGCCGCGGGAAATGCGTTCTAGAAGGTCACACGCAGCTGGCAGCCAAAGGAGAAAGCCAGGGCCCGCCGCCCTCGCCCGTCGTCTCGGCGAGCGCTAGGCCTGTCGCAAAAGGGCGGACCGGCCAGACCGCGGCGCTGGTCGGAAGTACCGCTCGCGTCGGCGCAGGGCCTGTCGGGAAATGTATTCCCGTCTGGGCGGAGGCCGCCGAGGACCGTGCAGCAGCCGGTGGCTGAGCCGGCGGGCCCCGGGATGGCGGGCCCGGGCGGGGCCGGGGCCTTGGCCGGAGGCGGCGCGCGGTCCAAGGTAGCCCCCAGCGTGGACTTTGACCACAGCTGCTCGGACAGTGTGGAGTACCTGACCCTTAATTTTGGGCCCTTCGAAACGGTGCATCGCTGGCGGCGCCTCCCGCCCTGCGACGAGTTCGTGGGTGCCCGGTACGGCGGGGGTTCGGGACTAGGGGGCGGGTTCAGGGACGAGGCCAGGGCGTGGGAAACTTGGAATGGAGGTGATGGCGCCCGGGTCGCTGTGTGGCGGGGTGGAGGGCGGTGCTGCCCCAGAGAGCTGTGCCCGGTGCTAGAGCTGCTGATCTTAAGGAGCTGAGGCTGGGGCTGGGCCCCCAGATGCTGTCTGGGGGATGGATAGCCCCAGCATTGCTGCCCCCACCTGCTGCGTCGGACATTGCCTGCGTGCATGCCGAGTCGTTTGGGAGGGGTGGGTTTAGGGGTCTCTGCCATCGGATGAATGTGGCAGTCCATGAGTGGCACTGTCCCATTCCTTGGGTTGCCTCCCCACCCCGTCCCCCATGAACTCCAGCCTCACCAGCTATCCCCTCCCTCCCTTCCCACATGCCGCTTTGCTTCTTTGCAGCCGGAGCAAACACACAGTGGTGGCCTATAAGGATGCCATCTACGTATTTGGTGGCGACAACGGGTAAGTGTCTGTGTTCCTCTTCCCACCCCCAAGTCCTTCCAATTTTCACTTTATAAACAAATAATAATAATTGTCTTTTTCCTTTTTGTTTGAAAGAGAGACAGGCAAGGAAAGCTCTCCCACCTGCTGGTTCTCCTGCCTCATGCACCCCGGTCCTGCCCAAATTCCCACAGTAGAGTCAAGGCTGGGCCAAGTTGAAGCCAGGAGCCCAGAACTCAGTCCAGTCTCCTCCCATGTGGGCGGCAGGGATTTAGGTACCAGAGCTGTCCCTGCGATGCCCTGAACATCATCTTCACCACTGTACCTCACCCCCTGCCTGTCTGCTGCCCCCATCTTTCTCTGCATTTCTAAGTGCCAGGGACCCCACCTCTGAGTGCAGGGTCCCCACCTCTGAGTGCGGGGTCCGCACCTGTGAGTGTGGGGTCCGCACCTCTGAATGCCGGGGTCCCCTCCTCTGAGTGCGGGGTCCCCACTTCTGAATGCCCGGGTCCCCTCCTCTGAGTGCAGGGTCCCCACCTCTGGGTGCAGGGTCCTCCGGGCAGTGTAAGGTGTTCCCTGCTGCTCCCCACTGCCCCCTCCCTGCGCACAGCCACACTGGCTGCCCTGCTGCCTGTGGATTGCCCTGGACTTGCTCACGAAGCACCTTCTGGGGACTCCCACTTTCTTCCTTTTCTCCCTCCCCCCCTCACCCCACTCCAGTGCACCTTGTGAGTCAGGCCTCCGCTGGTCAACCCCAGAGCAAACTGGCACACATACACACACAGCACCCCTGCTGCCTCCCTTGGGTCACACCTGCATCCTGGCATCTGTGGCCCAGCACCCAGGCATCCCCCTGCAAGGTGGTGACTAGAACCTGGACAGAAGAGGCAGCGGTGTTCCCTACTCCCACCCCGAGCAATGGGTGGGAAATGAGGTGGGCTTGTAGCAGGCAGCTCTGCCTATGGTAACTTGTAGCCAGAAGCAGAATCCTGTAGGCTGCATACAATGTGAAACATTTTGTAAGTTAGAACAAGGACTCTGAATAACAGGGAAAAGAAAAACAACTAATGGGTGGAAGCCAGATGAGCCATGGTTCTCGCAGAGAACTGTTCTTACTGCGTTGTCATGGGTAGACTAGAATCTTTGGTGTTCAAGAAAAGCTGGCCTGTTTGGGGACTGTCTGCTCCCTCTGAGTTGCCATTTACCAGGCATTAACCAGAGTGAATCCATGTTGATTTGCTGTAGCGTGGGAGAGCTTAGTCAGTTGCAGACTGTCCTCCCAGAATCCTGTTTGACCACAGAGACAGGTGGCAGGAATTGGAGTACAGACTGGTCTTTCACCAGGTGTGGTTTTTGTAAAAAACTGGCCGTGTGCACAGAAGGACGTGTGCATAGGACGGCTTCCTAGGAGGGAGTGCTGATTGACAAAGGGGGTGGGGTGGGAGTTAGTCCCAGCGAGTGCTGGTTGACCTCAAGCTTTTTGTCCCCCAGGTGGCTGCTTCCTGTCCTGCAAAATGCAGGAAGAGGGGCAGTGCTGCCTGGCATGAGGGGCAACTGGTTGTTGTTCTTGCTTCTTAAGGCCAGGACGCGAGGAACTCCATCTGAGTTTCCTACATGGATGGCAGGACAGCCATCACTTGGGCCTTCCCCAGCTGCCACCCCGAGGGTGTGTCTGCATAGGAAGCTGGCCCAGAGGCAGGAGGCAGAGGTGGGATGGTGGGATAGGAGATGCGATTGTTCCTGGAGGATTGTTCCTGGAGACAGCTGCTGCCTCAGTTGTAGCATTATCTTAGGTGCACTTGTTACTTAGGGTTTACAGTATAAATGAAGTAGCAAGAAGAGGAATGAGAAGGGCCTCCCCTGAGGTTGGGATTCTGCAGCTAGAGTGAGATCTGAGCAATGACTCATGCCCACCCATTAGCCCCCTGAGTGGGCTCCAGAGGGAAGCCAGGGTGATGCCCTCAGCTGTGTGGCTATCCTAGGTGCCCACTTCATGGGCACCACCCTTGTCCCTTGGCCATCACCTGGTCAGTTACCTGGCTCGGCCTGGGTGAGGGTGGGGTGCAGGGAGGGCCCACACAAACACCTTTGCCCCTGGGGCTATGCCTGGTGCCTGTCTCTGGCCCTGCAGTGTGCACCAGGCCAATGCCACCCTCTCTCTGGCTATCTTTCAGGAAGACGATGCTCAATGACCTTCTGCGGTTCGACGTGAAAGATTGCTCCTGGTGCAGGTACGTCATCCCTGGGCCCAGCTCCACTTCCTAGTGTGCCTCTTTCCTCCTCCCCTCAGAGAGAGGCTTCCCTGGGCCATGTGGTCTTGGGTTGGGCATCTGCTGCCTCCAGGTATTCCCTGCAGCAGTGCAGCCCCTTGCCGGGAGCAGCCTGCACGCAGCCCGCACTCAAGGGGGAAGGCACCCCACAGCCTCAGCAAGTAGTGGCCAAGCAGGTGTGCCCGGGACCTTGTAGCCATAGAAGAGATTCTTTGGCAAAAGTAGATGCACAAAATACTCAGCACATTTAAAATGTATTTAAAATTTAAATTAAAAAAATATTCAACTCTTGTGATGGAGTGTGTGCACATGGCTGACACCTGGTACCTGTGTGCCCACCCCTAGGGCCTTCACCACAGGGACCCCACCAGCACCTCGCTACCACCACTCGGCCGTGGTCTATGGGAGCAGCATGTTTGTGTTTGGTAAGTTGCCTCCCACCCCTGCCTGGGCCTACAGATGTTTCGCTGCCGCCAGTGCTGGGGTCCCAGCCTCTTGGCACCCAGCCAGGGCTCTGCGTTCCACCTCCCGTGCACTGGAGGAAGGGAAGCTCCTGTCCCCTAACTGTCCTGGGCTCATGGGGTTGGGTTGGGCCCGTCTGTGACTGGTCTGGGGCAGGGAACACAGTCCTGTTCCTCTGAGTGTCCATTGAGCCCAGCGGGCAGCAGGTGCATTTATAAAAAAAGATAGTTATTTGAAAGTTATAGGTATGGAAGAAGGGAAGGACAGAGAGAGAGAGACAGAGGTACAAAGATGTACAATGGCTGCGACTGGTGCAACTCCTTCTGGGTCTCTCCTGTGGATGGAAGGGACCCGAGCACTTGGGCCATCTGCTGCTGCTTTGCTAGACACATTAGCAGGGAGCTAGATCACAAGTGGAGCAGCCAGGACTCAAACTGGTGCTCATGGGCTGCAGGTGGCAGCTTAACACACTATACCACAATGCTGGTCCCCAGCAGGTGCATTTTAAAGGGAACAAAATTGTGTTCCACTCTCCCCCACACACGTGTGCACACACACACACACACCCTACCCAAGGGTTGAAGACTTCAGCTCTGCCTCTTGGTGTGACCAAGTCTTACTCTCGCCACCAGGGGGCTACACTGGGGACATTTATTCCAATTCGAACTTGAAGAATAAAAACGACCTCTTCGAGTACAAATTTGCAACCGGCCAGTGGACAGAGTGGAAAATCGAAGGGCGGTGAGAGGCTTGGCCGAGGCTGTGGGATCCAGTGGGGTTTCTAGGGCGCTGTGGGCCTGGGATCCAGCCCCACCCCATGGTTTTCCAGATACCTAGAGGATTCTAGTATTTGGGTGCTGACTCCCAACTGACAGCTATCCACAACCTGCTCCCAACTCCCTAGGGGGAGGGTGCCCCTAGGGGGAGGGTGTCATGCTGGGGATGCCTGAATTCCTCCCTCAGCTGCCACCTGCCCTGGCACAGCCTCACTCCTGGTTTCCATCCCTCGTGCAGGCTGCCAGTTGCCAGGTCGGCCCACGGAGCCACAGTGTATAGTGACAAGCTGTGGATCTTTGCTGGCTATGATGGCAATGCCAGGTAAGGGGGTGGCCCTGCCATATGTGCTGTCTCCCACGTCCTGGACAAGGAGCCAGTCTTGGTGCTTGTGGGGGCTCCAGCTGGGGAGGTGGAACCCTTCTCAGGAGGGGGTTGTGGGCAGCTCCCCCAGCTGACCCCTTGGCTCCTTCATTTGCTGGATGAGGGTACTCAGTCCCATGGAGGAGTGAGGCGTTGGGGTGGGTGGGGGCGGGGTCAGGCTCAGCCCCAGCCTTGGCTTCCGGCACATGCCACGGACATTTCTCCTCTTGGTTTAAAAAAGCACAGCTTTGCTGTGTTCTTTTCATTACAAGAGTAGCATGGGCTTGTTGCCCCAAGCTTGGATGTTACAGAAAGCCCTCCTGGGCGTAGCTCTGTAGCTGCCAGCCTCTGGGCATAGGGGGCATGGGGCTTGGGGACAGCTGAACAGGGCTGGGCCAGACATGGTGCAGGAGGCTGCTCAGGGCCTCTCAGGCTGGGCCAAGGGAGGAGTCAGGGCGCAGCCCCGTGAACACCGCACCTTAGGGCTGCACAGGCAGTCCCCCTGTTCTGTTGTCCCCTGTCGCATGCTCTGGGCACATCACCCTGACCGCCACACCCAAAGGGCCACCGACCTCATGTCCTAACACAGGTTGAACGACATGTGGACCATCGGCCTCCAGGACCGGGAGCTCACAGGCTGGGAGGAGGTGAGTGCCCAGGGTACAGGCAGGGTGTGAGGGCAGGGGTGCAGGGCACAAACTACTTCCTCCCGTTGCCTCATATGTCTCCCACCCACCCCCAAACGTCACTTCCTTCCTCCCTGGCAACCCACCGCAGCTGCACCTGTGCTCTGCCCTGTGCAGCAACTTTGGAAACAGGCTTTGGGTGGGCAGAGCCATGGGTGACAGGGTAAAGCGTGATGTGGGCCGAGGCCACCCCCACTGACACACAAGGAAGTCCCCTCCCTGTGCTGTCCTGTGCCCTGCGTGCTGACCTAACCCCTGGGGTGGTTTAGCCCCTAGCTGTTGACAGCAGGCAGCGCCCAAGTGACCACACAGGCCACATGCAAGGGGGCTGAGCCTGGGCATGGGGGAAGGGGGGCCTCTGCCCCTGACTGATTGTCTTGCCCCCCACCAGGTGGCACAGAGCGGTGAGATCCCTCCTTCTTGCTGCAACTTCCCCGTGGCCGTGTGCCGAGACAAGATGTTCGTGTTCTCCGGGCAGAGTGGCGCCAAGATCACCAACAACCTCTTCCAGTTCGAGTTCAAGGACAAGACGTGAGTGCATTGAGGCAGGCGAATGTGCTCAGTACCCAGGCTTCCCTGTGCAAAGTGCAGTGGTGCACCCCTTCTGAGCTCCCAGACATGTAGGCACCTACGGCAGGCCACTGGAGAGGGCTTGGCTGGGAGCTGCCAACGCCAAATGTGCCCGGCACGCATCTCATGCATTCAGAGGGTGTCCAGACCTTAGGGTGCCCTCAGTGAATAGGCAGCCTGAACCGCTGTCTGTGGTGGTGGTGCTGCTGCTGGCCTCTGGCCCGGGGATCTGGAATAGGGAATACCCACTGTATGTCCAGGGGACCTGGGTCTGCAAGGAAGCTGGGGGCATCCAAGAGGGCAGGGTGGGTAGGAAGAAGGCCTGGGCATTGGAAGCAGAAGGGAGCACCATGGGTGTGGAGCTGCGCAAAGATGGTGCCAGAGTTGAGTGTGGCCAGTGTTGCTATAGCAGGGACTTTCTTGGGTGTAGGGGAGCCCCAACTGTCCCTCTTCCCTCCCCCAGCACCTGTTAATCCTCGTGTGCTTGCCCCCAACCCAGATGGACACGGATCCCCACGGAGCACCTGCTCCGAGGCTCCCCGCCACCACCACAGCGGCGTTATGGACACACCATGGTGGCCTTCGATCGCCACCTCTATGTGTTTGGAGGCGCAGCCGACAACACGCTGCCCAACGAACTGCATTGCTATGATGTGGACTTTCAGACCTGGGAAGTCGTCCAGCCTAGTTCCGACAGCGAGGTGGGCACCACCAAGGCCCAGGTGCAGGGAGAGCGACTAGGGGTGGGTTTTGGGAGGCAGGAGGGCTCCTGTCCTGCTGCCACCTGCCCCCCTGTCCCCCACAGCCTCAGGATGTCCCAGGGTTCCAGCCAGACACCAGGACTATGGCCAGAATATGCAGGGCCCTCAGCCCTAGATGTCTGCCTCTCTGGACGCCCTCTCCTCTCCCGGGAGCCCCCCCTAGGCCCTCCAGGCTGCGTGCCTGTGCCCTGCAGCCAGTCTCCCCACCTTATAACCCTCTGTACCTGCATGGTCCCCTGCCACCCAGGTCAGCGGGGCGGAAGTGCCGGAGCGGGCATCTGCTTCAGAGGAGGCGCCCACGCCGACATCCGAGGAGCGAGGCGGCTTCAAGAAGTCCCGGGATGTGTTTGGGCTGGACTTCGGCACCACCTCAGCCAAGCAGCCTCTGCAGCCAGCCTCGGAGGTGAGGACCCCTTGATCAGCCTACCCCTCCCCAACTCACAGACGGAGAGGCCATGGCTCCAGGAAGCACCTGCTCAGGGTCACATGGCCAAGGTGGCCCTGGCCCTGTGCTTAGCTCCTGGGGGTCACGCCCCTAGATGGGTGCTGTGCTCTGAGGCCCACCCCCGCATGGATGTGTCCCGTGGCCCCCAGAGTGCCCCGTGCCTCGTTCCCCTGCTGACTTGCACCCCTCCCCTAGCTCCCCAGCGGAAGGCTCTTCCACGCAGCCGCTGTCATCTCGGACGCCATGTATATCTTCGGGGGCACTGTGGACAACAACATCCGTAGCGGGGAGATGTACAGGTTCCAGGTGGGGCTGGGGGCCGGGTGGCAGAGTTACAGCTCCGGCCAGAGTTCAACGTGGGGCCTTTAAGCATACTCACAGGCCAAGGGCAGAGCCAGAGCTGAGTGTGGGCTTCCTGGGGTCAGCCCCTTCCAGGGATGGAGGAGCAGGTGGTCAGGGCTGGCCTGTGGGGACAGTGGGTTTAGGGACAAGCTCCTAGGTGGGGTGGAGTGTGCTGGTGGTGCCCTGCCATCCCGGTTGACCTGGAGCTCTCCTCCTTGGCAGTTCTCCTGTTACCCTAAGTGCACCCTGCACGAGGACTATGGGCGGCTGTGGGAGAGCCGTCAGTTCTGTGATGTGGAGTTCGTGCTGGGCGAGGTGGGTACCCTGGCTGCTGTCACACACCCCCGTGTCCCTGCAGGGGTGGGGCGGGGTCTCCTGAGCCTTCAGTCCCGCCCCACTCTGTGCAGAAGGAAGAGTGCGTCCAGGGCCACGTGGTCATTGTCACAGCCCGCAGTCGCTGGCTCCGCAGGAAGATCGTGCAGGCACGCGAGCGATTGGCCCAGGTGAGGCGCCCACCCTGACCTGGCCCTGCCTAGGGGAGCAGCCCCGCTGGTCCATGGGGTGTACCCTGTGAACAGAACCCTTCTCACCTACAGAAGCTGGAGGAGGAGGCAGTGGCCTCGACAGCCAGGGACACGCCTGGCCCAGCTGGGCCTGGTGCTGGGGCCAGGCCGCCCCTGCTGCGCGTGGCCATCCGCGAGGCCGAGGCCCGGCCCTTCGAGGTGCTTATGCAGTTCCTTTACACGGACAAGATCAAATACCCACGGAAAGGTCTGTCCTGGCAGGGCGCAAGAGTGATGGGGTTGGGGAGGTGCTGTTGCCATGCAGGCAGCAGGGTGGCCGCTGTGCCTTCTGAGGGCCCTCACTGGCCCCAACCCAGCTACTTGATTGGGAAGCCCTGGGCCCTGGCCCCCTGCCCTGCCTTACTCCGGGGTCTCAGTGGCTCTTGGGCGCAGGCCACGTGGAGGATGTGCTGCTCATCATGGATGTGTACAAGCTGGCGCTGAGCTTCCAGCTGTGCCGCCTAGAGCAGCTGTGCCGGCAGTACATCGAGGCCTCGGTGGACCTGCAGAACGTGCTGGTGGTTTGTGAGAGCGCTGCTCGGCTGCAGCTGGGCCAACTCAAGGTGGGGCCTTAGGGGACAAGGTGGGGCCCTATGGGAGGGTGGGCAGGGCCTGCCTAAGGACACACCTTCCACTTCACACACAACCCTCTCCCTGGGGCCCTGGGGCCCTGGACCAGCTAAGGTAGGGCTTGTGGGAGGATGGGCGGGGCCTGTTCAGGCCACACCTTCCACTGCCAGGCCCTGGTCTGATGGCCCTGTTTGTCCCAGGAGCACTGCCTGAACTTCGTGGTGAAGGAGTCCCACTTCAACCAGGTGATCATGATGAAGGAGTTTGAACGCCTCTCATCCCCCCTCATTGTGGAGATCGTGCGGCGCAAGCAGCAGCCACCCCCGCGTGCCCCCTCCGATCAGCCTGTGGACATCGGTAGGGAGGTGGGGGGCGCCAGGGGAGGGAGGTAATGGTGGTTGTTATAGGGCACAGGGGGCAGCACCTGGTAGGCCCAATGTGGATGGCATGGAGGAACTCCAGGGTTCTCCAGGCACAGGGGTCGGGGGAAAGCGGGCAGCTAGGAACCCGGACCTAAGCCCTTTTCGGGATGCAGTGGATACTGGAGCCCCTTTCTGGCTGGTATGCCAGTGCCGGCCCAGGGTCATGTGGTCAGTTGTACAGCTTCCCTCTTGGCACAGTGTGTGTGGGAGGGGGAGGGGTGAAGGGGAGGAGAGACTACCACCAAGAGGCCTCCAGTCCCAGGGAGGCAGTGAGCATGGGGTCCCATGGGCAGATACAAAGCTGTCTCTCAACTCTTGCCTGGGGCATGTGGGGGGTGAGGGGCACCTGCTTAAGGGCCTTTTTACACACCCCTCACCCCCCATCCCCCAGGCACCTCTCTCATCCAGGACATGAAGGCATACCTGGAGGGGGCAGGCGCAGAATTCTGCGATATCACGCTGTTGCTGGATGGGCACCCGCGGCCAGCCCACAAAGCCATCCTGGCTGCCCGTTCCAGGTGGGGCCTGAGCCCCCAGGTGGGAGGGCACTGGGCCCCTGGCCAGCACACTGGCCTCGACCTGCTGAGGGTCTGCCCCCTCACTGGTCTCACCCCACTTAGGGTTTGCCCCCTCCCCAACCCCTGTCAGCACGCTGGTCTCACTCCACTGAGGGTCCACCCTGCACCTGCAGCTACTTCGAAGCCATGTTCCGGTCCTTCATGCCCGAGGATGGGCAGGTGAACATCTCCATTGGGGAGATGGTGCCCAGCCGGCAGGCCTTCGAGTCCATGCTGCGCTACATCTACTACGGCGAGGTCAACATGCCGCCCGAGGACTCGCTGCATCCTCCAGACGCGACTCCGCCTGGGTCTGGGCTGGGGTGGGGGACCCACAGCAGCCAGGAGAGGTAGGGAGGTGCTGGCAGCCAGGAGAGGCAGGTGGACCCTCGAGCCTGCCAGGTGGATGGGTGATCATTGCCCTGTGCCGCAGGCAAGCAGATGGGCAAGGCGTGGTTTCCAGGGACCTCACTCCCATGGGGGCTCTGTACCCCTACAGGGGCCACATGTGGATGTCTCAGTGACAGATAGTCAGCCTCTAAAATTCTGCCACCCGGGTCTCGGTTTTGTGCAGGTGTGCGCTGCAATGTTTATGATTCTCCAGTATGTTCCCGTTATCAAGGGATGCTACATGTGGTTCTCAGAGAGAGGATTTGGGTTTGGTGCTTCACATTAGACAGCCTGCGCCGTCTAGGCGGTGGGGTTCTAGCCACCTTCTGTGTGGTCAGGACGGGTCCCTTCTTCATTTGGCGGGTGGCTCCTTAACCAGCCCCGCCCCCAGCTACCTGTTCGCTGCTCCCTACTACTACGGCTTCTACAACAACCGGCTGCAGGCCTACTGCAAGCAGAACCTGGAGATGAACGTGACGGTGCAGAACGTGCTCCAGGTAGCGCTCGGGGCCCGCTCCCCTCCCCCGAGGGCACTGGGAGCCGGGCCTCAGGGTCACCGCTGCCCTTGTAGATCCTGGAGGCGGCCGACAAGACGCAGGCGCTGGACATGAAGCGGCACTGCCTGCATATCATCGTGCACCAGTTCACCAAGGTCAGCCTGCCTGAGCCTGGCACCCGTGGGCTCGGGAGCCAGCCCTGCACCCTGAGCAGGGGTCGAGCACCCCAGGAATCCATGCCTATCTCGTTCTGCTCTGCCCCACCCCCCCCACAGGTCTCAAAGCTGCCCACACTACGGTCGCTGAGTCAGCAGCTGCTGTTGGACATCATCGACTCCCTGGCCTCTCACATCTCCGACAAGCAGTGCGCAGAGCTGGGGGCTGACATCTGATGGCCTGTGGCACCACAGCCTGCACAGGGACCGGCCACTGCACCTGCTGGGCCAAGAGCCAGGGTTGCTGGGACCACCGAGAGAAGCCGAGAGAGGACACAGGGCCAGGCAGCCACACAGGGACACGGAGAAGCAGAGCCCTCCCCACCCACTCGGCACTTTGTCCCAGGTGGGAGGCCACAGGAGGCAGAGACAATGGTCTGGGTGATGTGGATGCAGACGTTAGGGCCTGTGCTTGGGGGCAGAGGACACCAGGCAGGACACCACGGCCCTAGGGAGCCACCCTTTGAGACACCTGTGAGTGGGGCTGGTGAGGAATAGTGGGGTTGGAGCCAGGGTGAGCTATGAGAGAAGGCACCAAAGTCAGCTCCTGGCCCATGGCATCACAGGGTGGGGCTGGTCCCCGACTGCCAGGCTGCAGGGACCTCTGGGTGAGCATTAGGCCTGGGATGGGGAGAAGCTGGCAGACAGGCCCCTTAAAATGTTCCGGCATAGAAAGGCCACCCTGACCCTAACCTACCTGGTTCCCCGCCCCCTCCAATATTGGTTTCATCTTGTCTGTTTCCCCTAATGCCATTTATAATTCACCATTCCCACCTAGGGCGACCCTATCACACAGGTAGCCAAGGGGCTGCAGGAGGTGTCCAGGGTAGCCCCCCTCCCACAGCCAGAGATGGCCAGGCAGTTGCCCTGCAGTGGGAGGACCCACTCTGCTTTGTAGGCCTGGTAGGCAGGAAGAGGAGCTGGCTGTAGGGGACTGCCACAGCTGGGGGCCCTTAGCGTAGCCACCTAGGTGGCTGTGAGCAGGCCTGGGGAGGAGGCATCAGGCAACAGAAAGGCAGGAATGCCTCCAGTGGAGAACACCCTCCTCTCTCCCAGAGCTGGACCATCTGCAGATCCAGCTCCCCACCTGCTCCCTGTCCCTAGCCCTCCCTGACCGTGCCCCCTAGAGGGGACATGAATAAATGACGTTACAAGCCTAGAGCTGAAACCAGCCAATTGTGGTAGGTTTCTGAGACCAGGAAGCCTTTGGGGGGGGGACGCCTCTGTTTTGATGTGCCCCACCCCCAGCTGCAGGGAGCGTGGATGGTAACCTTAAACAGTTGGCAACTGTCCTGCTGTCCTTGTCTCCGATGGCGGGAGGGGGGGGGATGGGTAGTGCAAGCTAATAAGTGTCTGGCTTTCTTGAACACAAGGGGGCGCTGTGGGACCCCCACTGCAGCAGGGGAGTGGCTGCCATCCCCCTTCCCTGCAGCATGGGGCTGTGGCTGGTGGGTGGGACTGGGGTCCTGGGGGTCTGCGCTCCCAGCTGAGCGAGACAGCAGCACCTGCAGGAATGTACTTTATTGCAGCCCCCGTGCCCAGCCCCGACTCAGGCCATGCTGCTGCTCAGCTGCATGGCAAAGTCCTGCACGTGCTCCTTCAGAGTCTGCCGGGCATCGGCCTGTGCCCGCTTCTCCCGTGCCCGTTCCTGCTGCAGCTTAGTCAGCCGCAGGCGCAGCCGCTGCTCCCTCCGCTTGCATGCCTGCAGCTGCCGCTGGGCCTTGTCCAGGGCGTCCAGGGCCGCCTCGGCCCGCCGCTTCCAGAGCAGTGCGCTGCCCACCTGGTAGCTGTGCTCGTTTTGGATGTAGGCTCCGGCAGGCGGCGGCAGGCGTAGCATGTAGGCCGATGGGGACACAGGCCGGGGCTCGAGTGCCGAGGGCTGGGGCTCTGGCGATGGCTGGGCGCTACAGCCTGCTTCTTCGGCTTGGGCACCCAGGGGGCCCAGGAGGTCAGAGAAGGGGCTGCTGAGGCCTGGCTCCAGCCTCCCGGCTGGGGATGCTGACAAAGTGGCAGGTGCTGAGGCCTCTTCCACTGGAAAGCAGGCGACATCGGCGGGTGGGGGTGGAGAGAACGGGGTCGTGGGCCCTCGGCCTTCAGAGCAGCTGCGGGCACAGAAAGAGACTGACAGGGCTTGAGCCAGAACCCTGTCCAGCGAGGGGGCCCTCCTCAGTCCAGCAGGGCACAGTCCCCGGCTCTGCCCCTGCAGAAGCACCTACCGCTTCCTGCATCGCCGCAGCCTGCTGACGTCCGGCGGCCCGGCCGCGAAGCTGTGCCCCTTGGTCTTGGCCGTGCGGCGCAGCTTGGAGAAAGACTCAAATATGGTGGGGACGGCGCCCTCCTTCAGCCTGTGGTAGCCGCTGTGGAGAGGGGGTGGGAGCAGCCCGGGTGAGCGCCAGGCCCAGGGCGGCAGGAGAGGTGGGGTGCACGCCTCTCGGGGTGCAGAACACTCCATCACCAGGGATAGCTAGCCCGGCTGCCCCCCTCAAAGCACTCTGCTATCTGTGGATTGCTGGGCGGGCGGGGTGAGCGGAGGAGGGAAGGGGCTCCTTTCCACTACCGGGCAGAGCGGGAAGAGGGAGCGGCAGCCCGGGGTGCACGCCGGCCCGGGGTCCACCCGGCCAGGCCGCCCGCCCGCCGCGCGGGACGCACCTGATTCCCACCAGCTCAAAGCAGTTCTCCTCGAAGTGTTTGGAGCAGAAGTAGATGTACTCGGACGCGGGGTCCCACAGGCCCTGCCCGCTGGGGTCCAGCCGCTGGCAGTTGGCCAGCCACAAGCCTCGCCTCGGGTTGTCCTTCTTGGGGAGTCTGCGGAGCCACGGACCCCGTGAGCCCCGGGAGGACACGCCGGGCACGCCCCCTCCCGCCAGGACCGCGGGGAGCCACGCGGAACCACTAGGCGCATGCGCCCTCCAACCGGGACTGCGGGGAGCCACACGGCGCATGCGCCGCCGCAGAGCACACCCGGGCGCACAGCGGCCGCGCACGCGCCCTTCCCGCCCCGCGCACGGGAGCCACTGCGCACGCGCGCTGACCTGTGGAAGGAGATGCCGCGGTTGCGCGTCTCGCGGGTGTCCCGAGTGCAGCAGCCGGCGGCCGAGCAGTGACGCGGCATCTGGGGCGCAGGGGGCAGCTGGGCGGCGGCCGGCCTCGCGCCCGCCCCGTCGGGCTCCCCCCGGCCCCCGAGCGCGTCCCGGCCAGCTCCCGTCCCGGCCGCTCCCAGCACGGCCGCTCCAGGTCCACTCAGCGGCAACTCACGCTCTGGCCATTGCTGCGCCGCCAAAGTCTCGCGAGGCGGGGAGGGTGTGGAAGAGAGCGGAAGTGGCGACCATAGAGACGCGGGAGCGGGCGGCGCCGGAAGAGGGCTGGGCGCCGTCGCGTCTCCTTGGTTACCACCTGGCTGGTCAAGAGGGGAGCGCGCCAGGATGGCGGGGACGCCGGTTCGAGTCCCGGCTGCTCCACTCCCCACCCGACACTCCGGCATGCGCCTGGAGAGGCAGTGGTGACGGCCACACGCGAAGGAGACCCAGGAGGTCCTTCCTGGCCCCACCATGGCTCAGGCGACCATTTGGGGGTGAAAAGCCGGTGGAACACTCTCTGTAGCTCTGCCTTTCAAATACTACTAAGAAAAAAAGGCCCGGTAACTTCTGAGTCCTTCATCCGGCCATTCTCAAGTCTTCCTGGGCTGCAGGGAAGGTGCTTCTGCCATTCTGGGTACCTTCTGCACAGCAACATTCGGCTTTTCTCCAACCAGCAATCGCCGTGGGACGGAGCACGCGTGGACAGGCGCTTTTTGTCAAAGAGCAGACCAGACACACGATGCCTGAATCCTGATGCTTTAATAGGAACATATATCCCGTACAGACGGACCCTCAGTACTCCTCCCCTTCCTCGGCCTCAGCCTCCACCGAATCCACGCCCACTTCCTCGTAATCCTTCTCCAGAGCCGCCAGGTCCTCCCGGGCCTCCGAGAACTCCCCTTCCTCCATGCCCTCGCCCACGTACCAGTGCACGAAGGCCCGCTTGGCGTACATGAGGTCGAACTTGTGGTCCAGGCGGGCCCAGGCCTCGGCAATGGCCGTGGTGTTGCTCAGCATGCACACGGCCCGCTGCACCTTGGCCAGGTCACCGCCGGGCACCACGGTCGGGGGCTGGTAGTTAATGCCCACCTGCCAGACAAAGAGGAGACAACAACGTGAGGCTCTAACCAGGCAACAGAGACAAGCCCAAGTCTGTGCTGTCCCAGGACAGGCAGGACAGACGGCAGAGGGCTGCAGAGTGCAGCGAGGGGCCCAGCGTGTCCCATCACCAGAGAACAGGGCACACATGCTAGGATCATCCACTCACTCACACGTACAGAAAGGAGCGGCTAGCCACTTCCGTCCCGCAGAACCACAAGGACTTTCCACGGATTCACACACTAGCACAGGATGTGCGATGTCTTTCTAGCTGCTGCTCTAAGTGGGAGAGAGTCGCAGCAGGTGTAGAAATGAACAGATTTAAGCTGACACACACGATCCGGTGCAGTGGCCTACGGCTTAAAGCCCTCACCTTGCACACGCCAGGATCCCATAGGGGCGCCAGTTCTAACTCCAACTGCCACACTTCCCTTCCAGCTCCCTGCTTGTGGCCTGGGAAAGCAGTGGAGGACTGGCCAAAGCTTTGGGACCCTGCACCCACGTGGGAGACCCAGAAGAAGCACGGGGCTGCTGGCTTCAGACCAGCTCAGCTCTGGCCATGGCTGCCACGTGGGAATCAAATCATTGGACAGAAGATCTTCCTCTTTGTCTCTCTGACTTTCTAATTAAATAAATACATTTTAAAAGGAAAAACTTATACACACGACATGAGGTTCTGACAACCCGACAAATGGAACCTGCGTTTCTCACAGTGACACTATTACCCAGAAAGTGACCCCAAAAATTCCTCAGCTAGCAGTCTATCCTGTTTAAAGTCTGACCACAAACATTGTGAGGCTCAGAAAGTATGAGGGACAGACATCACACAATCGCTCTGAATCCACCAAGCTATGACCCACGCCTGGCCATGACACACAACGCCAGTGTCCCCCAGGGGCAGGGGCATGGGCACGTGGAAGCTCTCTTCCCAACCTGCCGCCCCCTGACCAGGATGACCGCTCACTGTCTCCCAGGCCTACCTTAAACCCAGTCGGGCACCAGTCCACAAACTGGATGGTGCGCTTGGTCTTGATGGTGGCGATGGCTGCGTTGACGTCTTTGGGGACCACGTCACCCCGGTACAACATGCAGCAGGCCATGTACTTGCCGTGGCGAGGGTCACACTTGACCATCTGGTTGGCCGGCTCGAAGCAGGCGTTGGTGATCTCGGCCACGGACAGCTGCTCGTGGTAGGCCTTCTCCGCCGAGATGACCGGGGCGTAGGTGGCCAGAGGGAAGTGGATGCGGGGGTAGGGCACCAGGTTGGTCTGGAACTCCGTCAGGTCCACGTTCAGGGCCCCGTCGAAGCGCAGGGAGGCCGTGATGGACGACACGATCTGCCCGATCAGCCGGTTGAGGTTGGTGTACGTGGGACGCTCGATGTCCAGGTTGCGTCGGCAGATGTCATAGATGGCCTCGTTGTCCACCATGAAGGCGCAGTCCGAGTGCTCCAGGGTCGTGTGGGTGGTCAGGATGGAGTTGTAGGGCTCCACCACGGCCGTGGAGACCTGGGGCGCCGGGTAGATGGCAAACTCCAGCTTGGACTTCTTGCCATAGTCCACTGACAGCCGCTCCATGAGCAGGGATGCGAAGCCGGAGCCGGTGCCGCCCCCAAAGCTGTGGAAGATGAGGAAGCCTTGCAGGCCCGTGCACAGGTCCGCCTGGGGGAAAGCAGACAGTGTGAGCCACATCCAACCTGCCGCTGGCCCCGCTCACGTCCCGTGGCCCCTATGACTTGACGCAGACTCAGGGTGGCCACATGGCAGCTAAGAAGAGCACACAATGAGGACCCACGGGTGCAGTGCAAAACGCACCTTAGGGTGAGACCTCTGCAGACTCGGGCCTGCTCCTGCTCCCGCCCCTCCCAGGCTAAGGCTGCGCAGGGTGGGGTGAGGGCACCCCCTTACCAGCTTGCGGATGCGATCCAGGACCAGGTCGACGATCTCCTTGCCAATGGTGTAATGGCCCCTGGCGTAGTTGTTGGCCGCGTCCTCCTTCCCGGTGATCAGCTGCTCCGGGTGGAAGAGCTGCCTGTACGTGCCCGTGCGCACTTCATCTGCAGAGAGACCCGGGCGTGTGAGGCTCCCGACATGGATGCCTCCCGCACCAGTGGCACCCTGCGGCTCCACGAGGGAGGCACGTGCTGCTGTGTCACCAGGGGCAGGTGTTTTTGGGCAATGTCTTCCACAGACCACACCCCAGGCCGGGGATCTTGGCAGGTGAGTCACTCACCAACCAGCACCAGTGCCCTGATCCTGGGGAGGCACTGATGTACCTCTCACCCCCTCACACGGAGACCCATTTCTTCTTGCCTACCTCCACTTACATCAAGGGGAGCATTTCAACTCCCTCAGCAACTGGGCAGTGCCAGGGCCAGTGTGATGGGCAGGGCCACTCCTAGGCTGACAGGTGAGCCTGCCATCTCCTGAGACACTCCTCTCTCCCCGCAGCTCTCCTTGCCCACTGCTGCCGGCCTGGAGCACCTGAGTGAATGCTCCACCCTGATCTCCTTCTGTGGAAGATGTGGCTCAAGACCCTCGTGTGCAACGTTCAACCACAGAACCAGCTCGCACAGGCTGCACAGAGGCCGCCTGACCACGACCCGGGCAGCCCCAGGCAGATCTCTCGCTGCCATGGTAGGGCTGTGTCACCAGGAGGCTGAGTCGCACACTCACAGACATGCACATGTGTGCCTTCTGGTTTCTCACTTAACCATCACATGAACTTGTACTTCAGGACTCTGCTGTGGAGTAGGGGGGGCCACGCTGGGAGCTCCCACCCTCCCGTGCCCCAGCACCTACCCACCACGGTGGGCTCTAGGTCCACAAACACTGCTCTGGGCACGTGTTTGCCCGCCCCCGTCTCACTGAAGAACGTGTTGAATGAGTCATCGCCGCCCCCGATGGTTTTGTCGCTTGGCATCTGGCCGTCGGGCTGAATTCCATGTTCAAGGCAGTACAGTTCCCAGCAGGCATTGCCGATCTGGACCCCTGCCTGCCCCACGTGGATAGAGATGCACTCGCGCTGGGAACCAGAACAGAAACGGAGAACTCATTCATGGTCAAGGCAAGGTGCAACCACATGGTGTGTAAAACCTCTTTAACTACCTTGATTTCTAATGATCCCCCCCATGTTGGTCCTATAGGGACATTCATGAATTATGGACAGGAGTATCATAATTTAACAAAATTTTTTAAAACAGTAGTATTTACTGTATTCCTCTGATCACTTAACAGACGCTTACAGCAGCTGGGCAGGGCCAGCGCTGGGAGCTAAGGGTTCAAGCTAGGTGTCCCTTGTGGGTGTCAGGAGCCCAGAGGCTCTAGCCATCACTGTGGCCTCCTAGTCTCTACACTAGTCAGAGCTGGAGCAGGAGCTGCAGCTGGGGACCCAACTCAGGGATCTGAGCCCGCAGGTCCCACACCAGAAACAGGGAAGAAGAGACACAAAGAGAGACAGATCTTCCATCTGCTGCATCTGAGCAGCTCCAAAGTCAGGAGCTTCTTCCAAGGCTCCCACATGGGTCATCCTCCAGGGTTTTCCCCGGTGCCTTATTAGGGAGCTGGACTGCAAGTGGAGCCTTGACCATGTGGGATGCCATCACTGTAGGCAGCAGCTGTACTTGCTATACCACAACACTGGCACCAGATGACACAGAGAGCTAAGACTCTGCCTAAGATCAAGGGTATCCCATATGTGTGGTGGTTCAATCCTGGCCGCTCCACTTCTCATCCAGCTCCCTGCTTGTGGCCTGGGAAAGCAATAGAGGATGGCCCAAAGCCTTGGGACCCCGCACCCATGTGAGAGACCTGAAAGAAACTCATGGCTCCTGGCTTCAGATCAGCTCAGCTTCAGCCATTGTGGTCACTTGGGGAGTAAACCGGTGGACTGAAGATTTTTCTCTCTGTCTCTCCTCTTCTCTACATATCTGACTTTCCAATGAAATTAAAAACATCTCAAAAAATCTTCAGAAAGTAATGATTTTTTAAAAAGATGTGTTTAATTTTATTTGAAAGAATTACAAAGCTATCATCCACCGGTGCACTCCCCAAATGGTTGCCTCAGCCAGAGCTGGGCAGATCTGAAGTTGAGAGCCAAGAGCTACTTCTGGTCTCCTATGT